GCATAAAATCCTTGGTTTTTAAACAATTGGGCTTTAGTAATAAATGGAAATTTTATCTATAATTGAGCTAATTTGGGATCAGTGTAATACGTCAGTACTTACAAATTCAGCTTCATTAATAATTTTTGTCTGTTCATCGAGTCCATTTTATTTACATATAATATATACATGTATTTTTCTTCGCTAAGCGACATCCAAAAGTTACTCAATTTTACTCTAGAACAAACGTGACAGCTGTTTTCTTGCGCAAGTTCTATTATATGGGTGTAAATAAAACTAGCACAAGTAAAATGTCATGTTACAAGCACAAGTGTTTTAGAATCGCCATATGTTCATTGTTTAAGATTTCACCCTCGTTATCGAGTTAACTAGAGATCAGACAAAAGGACGGTATGTCAAACAACTTTGTTATATCGAAAACGTTTCTCACGATTATGAATAAAAAAAAAACAAATCTTATGATCTATAAACTATAAATTAAACATAAGAGCACATGATAATTATATCTAGATTATAATAATAATTGTAAATACTTATTATTATACCTATTTTTATTTTACCATAGACATATATATATAAAGAACATAATTTTTATTATATAAATATAAAAAAGCCATTTTTGTGTATTAATGAACATTACAAATATTCTCATTATTACATAGTTTCGAATAAATAAACTATATAGTAATAAAAAAAGATATATTTATTTTAATGGATGAGAATGGAATGGTACACGCAGACAGTGCACTAGTGAGAGATAGATAGTGAACAGATGGTGATAGGTGAAGATTAAAGCAGGTCAGTTAGCCCATCGTGACCTGAATTAACCACCATGATTTCCAAGGATTGTTGTATTGTTGACAAGTGTATTGCTGGCAAAGGGTCAGCTAGACTCCATTACCAACAAGCTCTTTCCCCCAGGCAGGTCAGTTTCTTATGGGTGATAATAGAATGGTAATCACACCCGCGCTATCGGTATACACTGGCGGGGCACCAGTGAGCGATAATAGGTGGGGATGAAACAGGTCAGTTAGCCCGCCGTTACAAATCTAACAATAAACCAATCACGATGGTTTCCAGGGGGAACCACGAGGAGGTCGACCTAATATAGTATATTGCTAGCAATGGGGCTACTAATCTTCATTACTAACAATCCATTCTCCCCCCAGGATGATAGGGGAGGAAGAAGCAGGTCAGTTAGCCCATCGTGACGAATTCATCGAGAATTGTTTACGATGGTTTCCAGGAAAACCACGTGGAGGTCGACCTAATAGGGCATATTGCTAGCAATGGGGCTGACAAACTCTAACTATTCCTTTCCCCCCAGGCAGGTCAATTAGCCCATTGTGATGAATGAATACACTTTGAATTTAACACAATGGTTTCCAGGGGAGGCTACGTGGAGGTCGACCTGGTAGGATATATTGCTAGCAGTGGGGCTGTTAGACCCCACTATTAACAATCCCTTTCCCCTTGTACTTAAATTACAAGAAGGGAAATACTACTAACGCCATCTAGCGTCTGGTAGTATTATTAATAATTCTGAAACAATGCCGCTATTATATAAATAATAAGGGTATTAATGAGTTTAATAGATAGCATTAAAAGTGCTAAGTATATATATTTATGTAAAAAATATTTGTATTTATTTATGTATTTTTAGTATACTTAATTAAAAAATAATGCTTTTATATCAACCAAACATGTAGATGTCAACTAATCAATAAGATTTTTTTTCTGATTAGCGACCGATTGGGAAATATTTCAAGTTTTTTAAAATAATAGCCCAGTATGTTCTCAAAACTTGATTTCTATAATATTCTTAGATTATGATGATCCTGATTCCACGTTTCTTGAAGGTCTAAATGACGCAGCAGGAAAATATTTGCTCCGTTTGTGCTGCCTCGGCGTTTTAATGTTCCCCCTTGGCACTAAAATTTCCCTTCTATCTACAATCGCTTCTATTTTATATCTTTGATTATACACATAATTTTTTATCCAGCCTTAAAAGTCAATTTACTGTACACCTACATTCGAACTATTCCAACATTTTTGAAAATAGAATCTATGTTCATCTGTTCTAAGCCTACAATGTATATTACTTGAATGTTAAAATAATTACAAAGTTTATTTTAAATTTGTTTTATCGTTTTTGCAATCCCAACATAGAGTAGCATGTCTTTCAAGATATTGCATAGAAAGTTATATCATCATCATCTTCATCACCATATTAGCTATTATCTGTTCATTGCTGAACAGGGACCTGAAGGTATTAGTTTATAAGAAATTACATATTTTATTATTATCTATTACTGACTGACCCGGCAAACGTTCTGCCATATTTTTTTTTTCTGGAAAAGAATATCCTAGTCACCTAGACTTTGCCGTGTGGTCACTGCATAGAATAGGCGATCCTTTCCTTTATCATGAATGTCGTAAGAAGTGACTAAGGGAACTTAATGGTCGAGGGACGGGCAGCAGCGTCCCTCTTAAAACATCTGCAACGTCTAACTGCAGTTCCCAGTCCACCTGCCAAACGTGGCAACTACTGGCAAAACCTCCTAATAGAGGCCTGTTATCGTCAGTGGACAAGTTACGGCTAATATGGTATGCTATGATGTGGTAATTACCTAGTGGTATGAAGTATGGTTTACCACATATTCTTATATACGTACCTATCAATACACATATAAATATACATATGAAAATAGGTCGAGTCGTTTCAGAAAAGATTAACCACAAACACCGTGACTCGAGATTTTTATATATAAGATTTATTTTATCTTTGTAATTGCCTACCTACTACTATCCATTTCTATCTTCCTGTAGGAGGCAAAATAATTTCACTGAATAACTGTGTTTACGTACTTATGTATAAAACGGCTTCTTAGCCGGTAGTTTATTATGAAATCGTGACCCACGACTGTGCTTACGAATGGAAGTTATTATTGGATTCAGTATTCCATGCCTTGCTATTTTGTTCAGACTGTTCTTGAATAGATAACTTTATTTTCCTTATCGTATCGATGGAAATACTTATTTAATTTGATCCATTTCAGTTTCAGTGTATAATAATATCTATTGTAAATATAGGTCAGTGGCAAATGTTAAAATAAATGTTGATCCACAAAAAAACATCGACTGCAATCGTAAAAAAAAAATAGTTATTTTGATTAAAAACCAAACTACTGACTAGATTTTGATGAAAATTCTATGAAACTAATTTGAAAGTATATCCTTCCAAATAATAAAAAAAAAAAAAAAAATTCGGAGATTTAATTTGTCGTAATCAAATAAATATATTTTCGGAACTTATACGACACACAGGAAATGGTATGGTTGATATTATTTAAATTGTATGGGAAGAGTATCCTAAACCCATGGCAATATCTTCACTCGGCCCAATAAATGGCAACCCTCGTCAGTGTTAGTACCTACTTAATCTGTAGATTGCACGCGCCCTGTAGCAATCTAGTTCGACACAATTGCGCTTGTGGGGTATACCTACCTTCCTAGTAACAGCAACATTACAAATATATCAGGGAACTATTTAGCATTTAGAAATAGTAAATAATATAAAAAATAATATTAATTATAATAAAATGAATTCTTATTATTAATCAAAATGTAGAGTTACACAAACTGCTGTATAAATAAGTAGTAAAAACGAAAACTATAATTTTATCTTAACTAATATTATAAAGAGAAAAGATTTGACATTTTATTTGTCACGGATAAACTGAAAATCTATTGTTTGTTTGTTTGTAATAGATAAATTTTAAAAGTACTTAACCGATGTTAAAAATTCTTTCACGTAAAAAAACTATATTATAAGCTATGAATAATTGATACCCGGTTTAAAACCGCGTGAAACCGTTGCAAGTAACTAATAAATAATAAATGCCGCCATGCTCTTGATACAGTCAGTACACAGTGCCATCTATTCACTAGTAGAAATTATAACTGTATTACGTATAGTACATAACTAATTTGTATATTCATTTATAAATACATACATATAAGTAGTAAACGGAAAAATGTAGATACAAATCCATTAAACACGTTCAAGATTATAAATCTTTGTCATGTCCAGCAATCGATTTGCAACTATCGAAAACTTAGACAGCGTATTAAATTGTTATATAATATTAAATAAAATAATTTACATATATAGAACAATTAAACTATATAATTATTTATACACGATTAAGTATTATTTTATATTTTGTTTAATTTAGTCCCCCAAGTCCTATCACGTAATATGGAGGGTGAGATGGTTTGGAGCTATATTCACCTGTTCGTTGTCACCTCCCCCTATCAACACCCTTAATGGGGATTCTTTTGCTCAAATTATTGGCAAAGGTAGAAGCAATTATGAACAAAAGATAAAATGGCGATATTTTACGTTCGTTTCATGACGCCTTTGTGTGAAATATCCTTTGACGTAAATGTGAAACAAGATGGTAGCTAATAAATTAATGAAGAGGGTGTTTTTATGTTTTTAATGTTAAAGGTTTCTTAATGAGAGGAAAGAAAAATATTTTTAAATTGGTATTTATATTAAGAGGAAGTACCTTGAACTGATTTATATGTCATACTTTTTATTTAAATTTAGACCAGTAAATAAACTGAAAATTAAGTAGTAACAGTTGATTATAGACGCGAACAAAAACTTGAAAATTGATAAAGATTGGGGAGAGTTTTGACAGTATTTTTTTTAATTTACTTTTTTATATATTTAGCGTATGCAAAATAGTTTGAAACAAATTATCGAAACTCTAATATTGGTCCCCTGATAATTATATAGTATCTTTTTTATGAAAGAAACGTAAATTAGACTAGATTTTTATAAATTTCTAAGATGTTGATTGGTAGCGACCGATATTGTAATGTTAATTTTGAAATTTGTACAATGTACTTTCTAGATAAAAATGTTATAAACAAATAATATTTTTTATTACAGTCGAAAAATTAATATATTTTTTTTCTTTTGTCCCCAGGCAAGTGTCTGTGCTGCAGACGTCTATCCCGCTGCCAGCGTCTGCGGCGGCAGTGCGACGTGCCCCGCCAGACAAACGGCCGCTTCCAGCTACCCCGTTGCATACAGGTCTGTAGCAACTACCCATTATTGCATTACTTATTGATATTACGAAGATTGGATACGTGACAGTATTTGTACACATACAGTCGGTACACATTTTATTTTCAAATGTTTTAAAGTATGGTTATCAGCGTCCACTTGTATCAGGTCTCGCTGAAAAGCAGCGCTGCAGCATAACAACCTGTGTTTGTAATTTATATAATAGGTACAGAAAACCAAAATTTTATATATATATATATATATATATATATATATATATATATATATATATATATATATATATATATATATGTTTGTATATATATATATATATATATATATATATATATATATATATATATATATATATATATACATTATCTCATATGGGCAAAGCTGCATCAAACAGTTAGTAAATAAATAATTTTAATTGTAGCCAAGACTAGTTCTCTATGCGGAAGTACCTAATTATTCCGTTTATGATGTGTTAGAACATGAAAAGGTTAAAACGGTCGCCTTTACCATCTGTTGTAAATTACATTTAGAAATTGAATTGATAGATATCTGTCTATTAAGACAGAGATGTGTTTAATTAATCCAATTGTATAAAAGACATCCATCGCTGGGGGCACAACGACCGGCATCGGCGGAGCTCGCCCGATGCGAATTACGCATTATGCTGGAACTTTCTATTGTCTGTCTTTCTTTTCTCTTTATTTATAAAAAGGAATGAAATAACTGTCCACTTTGGAAGTGAATTTTAGCACTTCTTTTTCTTGTTCTGTATAACTTTATATTTTACAATACACAAAAATACTTTTTGCTTTGTTCCCGAGAAATTGATTAAAATATATGACTGATACCGTTGCTTACTATTTTAAACAAAATACAATGACAAATGATAAGATTATTCGTAGATACATTACATTACGAAGAATTTACGCTGAGTCGTTTGTCTAAGTAAATTTTGCAATTTAAGAACATGAATATCACTAAGAAAACTGTTATCTATAACCATAAATAATAATTTATACCCATTTTCAACCGATTTGAAATTAATTATCCAAATCGATTTAGAATAGTTAATATTGGCGAAAGCATCGTGTAATACAAACAAAAATATACTCGATAAAGTACATTATAATAAGAATTCCGTTTTATATTTTATTTTTTAAGTATATATACACAATTATAATAAATCGTTGAACCGTGGTAGGTTTAGTATTATGGATGGCGCCAAAATGCTCATTCTGTGTCCATTTATCGGTCGTAAACTAACACCTGAAAGGACATCACGAGATAAACCGCAAAGGAAAATCATGCTTAAGGTTTATTCGCTTTCCCTCCGCTCTGATAAGTGAGCATCCTTTTATTGCTTGCTCACATGTTGGCGGTCGACAGTTCGACACTTATCATACATCTCGAGATGCTCTTTTCTTATTTTTACCAAAAAGAAGGTGTAATGTTTTTAAGAGTATGCATATATGAATGTTTGGATTTTTGGCAACGGATAATACGCACGGCTCGATTTTTTTTAAGTAAATTCTGGGGTATTGAGCTAAACTAGGCGAAAATCTAAAGTCTTAGAGGCAAAACAAATGAAAAAGAGTGGTAACACATCATATTCTACCTCAATCACCACTCAGAGAGTTTACACACTAAATATTTAATTCAAATTAGTAAATAAATCATAAAGTAAATAAAAACGAATTCCTGCATAATGAAAGTTTTTATAATTTCATCGATAAATTCATTGCCTACTGCTGTGCATAGGCCGTAGTCTCATAGCACACCCACAAACTGCCAAAAGGAAATATACTGAGCGAATTGCATCCACTGATCCCCTCCTACACATTTAAGGTCATTGCTCCATCTCATGGGGGTCGTCCTACACAGCATTTGCACGTACAAGTTCGTTTCTCGAGAACCTTTTTCCCCTATCGAATACCAATTCTTTTCATCTAAATAAATAACATATCTATTTATTACTAAATATATTTTAAAAGATAATTATTTCTCACGATTCGATTATCCCGCGACTTATCTCTCCCCTGTGTTATCATTCACATTGCGTAGATGCAGACAGGCGCGGGCGCATCGGCAGTTGTCGCGTACATCTCCCAGCGAGCACTCATTTGTTATCACCTAATTATTCATACTTAACAGTAATTAACGAATACTGAATAGCACTAGTTTTAGTGATATGTTAATAGTTTTACCATATCCATAATACGGGTACTGTTTGAAGTGTTTGAGGTAAAGTGAAGTGCATTTTAATAATATATTTAATTTTAACGCTTTTCATCCCCAGGATATAAGCACGCAAAAGGTGACAGAAAGAACAATGCACTGAATAGTGCAAGTAAAGGAAAACTAAATAAATACTCTATACCAAGCCCCTTTTTTGGGTAATAACCCATGCTCAGCAGTGAGTTGTTAATATGTAAAATAGAGCTATATTTTAATTATATTCCTATCTTACCTCTAATTTATTTCTAATTATCTATTTTTAATTTATACGAAAATGAATCTGTTTTTTTTTTCGAAGTTTTGTTTTCGCATAAATTAGAAATAAACATATAAGATATTTATTAATTTAAAAAAATCAAGAATTAGGTTAAGATAAAAAAAGAAAAAATATCCCTAAGATATTGTATCGTAGATAGGTACATTCAAATTCACTCAATCGTTTGAGCATGTGTGCATTTGATAATACTCAAACGACGTCATTGTTTATAAATATTCGCATTTATAATACCTACCTATTAGTAAGTTACCTAAAGAATAATTGTGGGTACATTTATGTTTACATTTTGTTGATTAACTTCAAAGTCAAATTACGGGTACATAGATATGAAACGTATAAAATGACTACACCATTTTATTATTTACTTATCCTTAATTGCATTATAAGGAAACATATTTATTTTTTATAAATTATTTATATAAATTATTTATATTTATATAAATTTATTATTGTATTTTATACCAAAATTTTTATTTCCGAACTAGCTTTTTGTGCCTTTGCATTGATTTTTTTTATCTTTTTTAATCATAATTATTAATCAGAAATTAGTCCAATTAGTTATTATTAATCTCGCGAGTTTCATTTCAGTCTACAAATAATATAATTTTGGTATACTTTTTTCTTAAATCAGTTTGTCTACTTTCTCATGGCAATTGTCTAAAGTATCTAGTTATCAAATTTTATCAAAACTATTCAATAAATTCTTGTGTGATGCGTTTATATACAAACGCAGATAGATAAATGAGATACAAATCTTAAAGTTGGATGAATGATATCTAAGTATAACTAATTATACTACCATTACAATTAAAAAAAAAAAATTAATATCAGCTATATTCCACGGCTTCGCTAGCGTAAATCAGTACATTAAATATTCTATGTGCTAACTTAGAAAATTACCTATCTGTGTAAGAAATTACATTTTAATCCGCTAATAAATAATTTTGCGTAAAAAAGTAACAAACATACATTCATTCAAACATTCTCACAAATTTTCGCATTTATAATAGACATGGTCTATGGAGACGGTGTTAACTTTCTCTAGTTTTATTAGCAATTAAACTATGAAAACGATGACATCGTGCATGAAGGGTTACAGAATAAGTTGGTAATAATTCCTGTCTAAGATACGAGAGTGTACAAGTGTGACAATAAAATCTTTAAATTCAAACACCATTTTGAACTCTATTTACACGTCCAATAAAGTTTTAAATAATGTTTACAATCTCCATTTCGACGCCTACATGCAAAAATCAGCTGACCGTTGCTCGTTGTTCCTGAGTAATCTTGAGTGATGGATCGCCTTGGAATAAAGAGCGGATGCACTTTGTTGATTGACTCCGATGTATTTTTGCAACGGTTATGCGATAACTTCCTTTGGTTTAAATACAGTTCAGCATTGTTTGAGAACACCTGGGTTTGTTATGATTATAGTGATATGCTAATAATTGTCGAGTGATTGTTTAATACCTATATAAAAATAAAAAAAAAAACCTATATAAAAAGCTGCATTTACCTGTGAATAGAGTCATATTAACTTTCTTATATCTCTTACCATTCATTTTTCCTCTATGCTTTTGTATCGGATGTTTTATTGAAAATCAAATTACGATGCTGTGATACGTAAGTATACAAATAGATACGACAAATAATATTTTTCGATGTTTTGTCCATTTCGCTACTAAACTTATTAAGCATTGTTATTGTGGTATTTTATTTATATTATTAATAATAAAACTACTTAAATAGTCTTAAAATTAAACAAAACAAATTATCTAATGTATTGATAACAAAAAATTGATTTTATATACAAGTTATTATCTCTTTCCTTTAAACAATTTAAAATTGTTTACAAATAACAAATAATCTTCATGAGTGTTAATTAGGTATCTCTGACAGTCTGTGTTTTCGTTGAAAACCAGATATTTATAGAATTCAATCGATTTCTATGTATAACGTTAAGTACTTACCTGTTACCTTACATGTTTACCTTTACCATAACAACAGCAATTATTTTGAAAATAAAACAATTGCACACGAAAATGAACTACTATAATAGATACCCCTTATTTGGGGTTGCTATGCGCACGTGCATATATTAGTAACGAAATGACGTCACGAATTATTATTTTGTCTGTATGATATCGATCGTTGGAATGAACCACTTTAATTAGATCCATTGTTACAAATACGGTTCCCCTCTGAGTCTGTGTTGGGGATGAATTATGAGGGGTGAAGAGGTTTAATTTAAGCTGGTGTCATAGTTGGTAGTTTGTATGTTCTGGCCCTCCGATCAGTGTGTCGCCGGCGCACGCCAGACCACCCGTGCCATATCACGATAAAAGTTCACTTATCTAGTGAGTGTTAGTTCAACAAAGATAATGTTTGTCCAGGTTGACGTGACAGATAACTTTATAAATAAGAATACCAAACATTTTCATTTTTAACATATTTAATTTATTTTCAGGGAGCAAAAGTGGACTTTCGGCAAGTTCCAGTCGTTCTACGAGTCCCTTGGGACAAGGGGTGGTTACTTTCATTCCGCGCGCGCCGACTTCATCCTCTGGGTACTTATGGCATTTTATTATATGGCACAATACTATATAAAAAAAAGTGTGCACCTAATGAGATGTTAGTGGTAAAACTTAATTAATTTAGTAAGAATATACTTTTTCATGGTCTCTGGGCGCTCAATATAATTAACTCTTAATTATCAATCAACCGATATGATACGAGTATGCTAATAAACTCACCTACTTGTCATCGGTAAATAATAGGGCATATAATTAGGATAATTATCGTGATTTCATTTTAATAATGGAAGTTTTGAATAATTGTAGTTTATTATTTTATCTCTATACATGGTGACATTAATACTTTGAACACTTTATTAGCCTCCTTTTTTATGCTTACTTTTTATCGTTACTTATTTACGTGTATATATAAGTAAGTTTATATCTAATTACTTTTTTACATTGTTATAGATCCCGTCCGAATTCATCGCTACTTGCACCTGGCAGTAAAATACCATCCTCCCTTCAAGCGCAACAACATTCTCAGACATCTAATAATCATAATGGAACACCTACAAAACATTCTATGTTGGATAAATTAAAATTATTTAACAAAGATAAACTGAGTAGTGAAAAACAACATAGTAAAAGTACAGCAGTCTCGAAACGTACTAGTTCTTCCAGCGGATTTTCTTCCGCAAAAAGTGAAAGATCAGATTCAAGTTTGAGTCTTAATGAATCAAATACACCGAATACACATATCAAATCTTCCAATTTAGTAGGACCTAAAAGTATAAGACAACAGAACGAGGCATTATCAAAAGACAAGTCTGGTAAAAATGTTAAATCTAAGTTAACTAATTCTAAAGCTCCAAAAGAATCTTCAACGAATTTAAGTAAAGCTAGTACAAAAACTAGCAGTACAGAGAGGTCAAAGCACAGTCCAAAGCTGCCTTCACGTGATAAGGAATCCAAACTGGCGACTCCTAAGTCTATTAGTAACACAAAATTAAATCAAATTGATGATCATTCAAGATCTACAAAGTCAAAGTTAGAATCAAAAATGGTAAAATTATCAGGAAGTCAAATTAAACTAACTGAACAAAAATCTGATGCACCAGATCATAAAACTCAAGAAAGCACATTAACACAACCAAAACATTCAATAAGTCAACCCCTAACGTCACCTGGAGCACAAAACTTTGGGATACCAAACCACACCGGTATTCCCAAACCCACGGCCGCAGTAAAAGGAACATTTAAAATATCTAAAGATGATAGGCATATTATAAGTAAAAGTACAAATAGTCAATTAAGTCCTATACAAAGCAATTCTAGTTTAAATTCTACAAACAACGTAAGTGCACTTCCGTTTAATAGAGAACAATCTAATTTAAGTAAAGATGTATCTCAAAAACAAACTCTAGCTGTTTCACCAATGCCGAATCCAGGAAATCCTACTTCACAAATGTCTGAAAGTTCACATTCAAATTCTACTCATAGTACTACAGGGCAACATTCAAATTCAAGTGATAGTAGTGTTATATACCGTCCTTCTAGTGAATCGGGATCTGAGATATCGCGAACTACAAACAATGTGCCTAATAAAAGAATAGATATGAATACCACATACTTAAATGATGTGATTACTGAAGCTGAGATCTCCGAAAAGGAAGCGGCACAAAAACGATTAAATACTGCTTTGAAACCATCATTTGATGTAAACAAAACTTTGACGGAAATTAATAAAAAGCTCGAAACTGACAGTAGATCCAGCACGCCTTCACATTGTCGAGATAATTCTCTTGGTGAGGATGAAAATCCATTAATGAATGTTTTACCTATGAGGCCGTTACTACGAGGTTACAATAGTCACTTAACACTACCCATGAGAACATCAGGTTTAACACAAAAGAATATACCAGGCTACCCTCATCATGCAAACACAGTTAAAGCTAATTTTGGTCGAGAAAATATGGGCTTACGAGAACGTATGAATTATGGGCCAGGCTTTTCTAATCCTGATTATTGTGACCTAGAAATAGCTTCAGGGTATATGTCTGATGGCGATTGTTTACGAAGGATTAATGTGAATGAATTAGAATCTGGAAGAAATAACGACATTATGGATGGTTATATGTCGGAAGGCGGTGCTTCGCTTTATGGTCGTCGTATGAATTACCAGCAGCCATCACAGTTCCAGCAGCTTGATGAAAGGTAACCTATTGGGGATTTTTTTTTATATGCGTGTATAGTTTTAATATTATGGTAGATGTACTTTTAGCTAATCTTGTTAGAACAAAGATGCAAACTCACTCTCACAAAGCCCTAATAAAACTGAAATTAAAACACTCCCTTAGGGCGTGAGATTCATGGCCAGGGAGGGATTTTACCGGCAATAGCTGTACTTTTTACGTTTTTAGTGAGGGGTTAGAAGAAAATTTTATTGTAATTGTTTAATTTATTTAAATTTTCTATAACGATTCTATGACTATACATTTAAAAATATTTGTATATAATTATAAATATAATACATAAAGTAGTAGATACAGATATGTTTATAATTATATTAAATAACACTGAAGGCGAAATCAGTTTAAGTCACTTATTTCATATGAGAATTACTATTAAACATACATATATTAACAACATATATTTGTAATATATTGTTCAACATCCTTGTAGTGTTTAGGAATATTTAGACATTACTATATTTACCACATAGATTTCCAAATACGAGTATGTTTTATTAGCAAATTCATTTTCCGCGTTGGTGCTTGTCTGAGTCTCCCTCAATCCACAAGTGGTCGACACGCCTTCAGTTATTCTCTAACATTATAGATCTATATTTGAACTTACATAAAAGCATAGCACTAGTAGCAGGAAATCTATTATCTTTTGTTAGTCTTATATCGTACAAAATTTTGATGATTCACAAATTCGGTAATAAAAATGAACACATCCATATAGTTACAGATATTTAAAAAATCACATAAATCTTCTATTTTATGGATATAATTCATATCTAGAAGGTATTTATATGTATATTCGCTTTAGGTAGCCGTATCGCCCAATGATGACGTAATAGCACTTAAACGTAATTTTTGACACATACTTGACGACATTTACAAACAAACCTTTTGGACGCATCATTTGACAAATGCTCATGAACTACTGATGTGGATAAAGCTTTTGTTAATATTTGGACTCTGCTTCCCGTGCAGTGCACACAACGACCTCCAAGTGAGAACTCGCATGGCGCACTCACACTTTTACAATGTTAGGGGTGAGGGCGGGGTGACCCAAATCGATACTCCTACGTCTCACACCGCCCCTGCCCCGCTCGACTGCTCCATCTACACCGCTTTGACCCTAACCACCCCCAACAGCAACGCACCATTCGGGACTTTAACGATCTCAGCATAAAATTGTACTTTCACCGCAGAGGCGTTTAATATCAAACAGTTTCCAATGACACTCATATATTACTTGCTGTCATCTTTTCCCTCGTTTTCCTACATTTTGTAAATAGATAGTTTTAAAGAATATGATAATAATAAATTTAAAATTTAATAATTAATTGAAGTAATCGGACGGTACAATAGTCGAAATTAATCTGTATGTTAAACATATCAGTATAAGTGATTGTGTAAATGGCTGTGTAAGCTTTGTGTGAGCGGGTGGTTTGCCGTAGTATGGTGATCGTACGTCGGGTACGGTTCGGCGCAGCGGCGACAGGCAGGGCGGGCGGCACTCGCCGCCGCGCACTAACGGCGTGCGGGCGCGCCGTACTCGCCGCCCGCGCTCACACACGCACGTGACAAACTTTCCCGATTTCCTCGACGGAAAATGTAAATCTGTTGTCGGCATCGATCGTTCCGTCGCGAGACGCACGCTCGTCGAACCGAGCACGCCGATCACAGCTGGCGCCATGAAGCTGGACCGTACTTAACAAAGGAGCGCAAAGAAACAGCCGTGTTCTTTTCTGATCTTGTAAACTCATGATACTGTTATTTGGTGTTAGTTTAAGGGTATCTTAGTCGATGTAGTGGACCATACGCGTTGTGCCTTCTGTCGCTTGTTGTGGTGATCGCGAATACTTATTGTCATACACGGGACGATTAATTTGCTGTTATTTTATAACTAGATAAGTTTGTGAATTTATATGTAAGGATCAGTGTTGCCTTGCTACGTGTCTTTGCTTGTCGCGGTAGACCTTATAACCTTATAAGCTTACGGTGCTTTAGAAATTAATTGAACTTCTAGAAGACATTTGAATTTTTCCTGCTTTGAAGATGGATTGTATTTCTTTGGTGAGACTTTATTTTTTCCTAGTTAATTATTTTTGTTAGATTAAACTTTGTTGACTGTGGAGCAATAACCTTGTAAACATCTGGTTGTGTTATAGAAGTCAATGTATTGCGATTTTGTCACATGTGGTCACCATTCCTGCGTTGATATTACATATTTATAATTTCATTGCACGAATGCCACAAACATGAAATGCTTGAAATGTAATTTAATTATGCCTTTAAATTTTACAATCACATTATTTTTCGTAATATATAAGATGTTTATGGACTCTGTTTATTATACTGCTTCAGCATCCACAGGGTTACGTGTAGGGGCGAGATACCCTACGTTCTCCCCTAACAATGATTCTTCATTTTTATAGAATAGTATTTATTAGATATTAAAGACTTAACTTTGATATTGACCTTTTATAATCACAAAAGGGCACACATATAGTAATAAATGTCTTAAAAAAGTACTTATAGAATTTACAACAATAAGAACAAAAACATATTATATCATATGATCAAAATAATTAAGATACGTACTTCAAGTCTTAATTGTCAATAGATGTACAATTATTTCATAGACCTACGTTATATCGATGGATAATTGCGTTAAACTTGTCCCCTAGTTAAATGAAAATCAACCGACCAAATCGCGATGTATGGCTAACTCACTAGTTACATTAGTCATTTAATATTGTTTTGTTACGTTTTCTTGTATTTTGTAAAATGTAGAATGCTTTTATCGATTCGGTCAAGTTTTATGGAGGGTTTCGATTATTAGATGTACAGATAGGCATATGAATCATGGTTTGTGTTATTGAGTGGCCGGTTGTCTTCTGGTCTTTCGATCAATGCTGGCTGATTGCCGATTGCTGATAATAAACGAACCCATTATTGAAAGCCTCTTGAACTTATAGTAGGATGCACAATACACATTCCATTGCTAATTTGTTTTATTACCAAATTCCTGTACAGATGTTAGATAATTAACAGCTATAAGAAACTACATTTCGTTACATTTTTAACGGTTCTTGAACTTTCTTTTATTACTCTCTAATTTTGTGTTGTATGCATTATTGTTACAAAGTTCATAATTATTTTTTATTTATGTCGATCTTTATAAAATAATATTATATATATATAACATACTGTAAAATAATCAACTTGTAATCTATCGCTTATTGAATTTGAGAGACAGAATCAATTTAATGAATTACAATTTGTTTGTCCAACCCATACGGTTTAATGAATTCGAATGGAAAATTATAACAGTAGTCTTTGAATAAATTTCTCATATACGGGGACATAAAAAAAAAGATAAATAAAAATAATTCACTAGAGCCATGGTTTCCATAGGATACTGACATGAATTAAAACTAGTATAGTAGACACTAGTAATATAGTTTAAATGCAGATACCTACATAATCCGACCTTATATATGTAGCTCTAATAAAAAGTTATTAGGAACCCTGTGAAAATTCGGAGCATATTTTGTAAACAATTCTCATTTCAAAAGTTTTAATTACGTATTTGGGTATTGTTGGGGAATGCACTGATATTGCAGCCTGCTATCGTCAGGTTGGAAGGATCATAAACCTAAGGATTATTTCTAATTTTGTAAACTTAACTTTGCAAGAAATCCCTATTTGCAGATTTAGTTGATATTTATATTTAACTCACGTCTCTGTGACAAGGCTTGTCTAAACTTTAGTACACGTTACTTCACTTTGCACTATGAGAGCATAATTGATCGCCCCGGGTGACACTAAATCTTTTTTATGGTCGAGAAAATAATGAACATACATATATGTAAAGTAAAAACAGTGACCTCTATATATGTGCTATGATTCTAATGAAGTAAAATAAATAAAGAAAAATTCTAAATACACATTCTATAATTAGAATTTTTCTATGACAATATTTCAAAATTGTTACTACCACTCTTTCTTACTGTTATTGTTAGCTCTAAGTTTATTTTAGTTTGAATATTGACGACACTAAATAAAATATATCTGATATTTGTATAAAATATTTTTTTAATTTAACTTAACAGTATGCTACAGTTATCAAAAATAATTTCGTGCTTTTTTCACAAAATTTGCATTTAGCTATAAAATTGTAAAATAATACAAATTGAACATAGCTACCTACATAGAACCTAGCCTACGTGATTTTTTTAAGTAAGTAAAATCATAAAAGCAAATGCATATGTAACGGATTAATTTGGTTATAGTTAATTATGTTTTGTAATTTTTATTTACATCTATAGAAATTGAAACTTCTAACAATTGTTTCTAAAAATATTTAAATTTAAATCTCTATTATAAAATGTCGGAGAAGCTATCGCTTTATCGATAATCGATGTGAATTCAAGTTGAATGCGCCGCTAGGAAATCCATTGCTTTTGAATAGATGCTGGTTTGCAGTAGTTACTAGTTAGAGCTACCGTCTCCTTTCAAAGTTTACCTATCTACGTATTTATTAATGTTTTGTTTAATATTATTTTTGTCAACATTAAAATAGAAGATTGCATAAGTATCGATAAGTTGTGATAATGGATAGATATAAAGTTTTTTAATAATCTTCCTTAATTGTACTGATATTAATAGAAATATCACTATTCTTTCTTAAATTTTTATAAAAATAAGGTGTTTATTTTTCTCGCGATTGCTCACGATTTTTTACAATTATTCCTGTTTTTATATCTTTCATTCATGTTAATTTCCATAATATAAAAAAACATGTATGCATTATAAGGGGTCCCACTGCAGTCAAAGCCCAGACGTTCGTAATATATATATATACAAATAATGGTAAAGTAGGAAGGAAAGAATAATGAGGGAGCTGCTCAGTTCATAGATAATGAGGTGGTAGCAGTCTCTTTCTTTCAGTGGATCCGTCATCATTAGTGAACGGCTTCAGGCGTCGAGTTTTCATTACGACGCCAATGTTTCAAATCACAAAACAGTGAAGACCCGGGGTTGTGGAGACCCAGATTAGCGTGTCTTACGATTATAGCTTGCGTACCTGTTATTACAGGGATAAAGGAGAATACGCTTGGGGAATAGCGTATCCTTTGCAAACTTCCTGAATTATAATTTCTTTGTTTATACGTGTGTACGTTATCTCTGCTCAGAATAACGATGTGGGCTCTAATAAACACTTCTGATACCCATTTTTGAAATAAATTTTATAATATACCGACGATCCGCTTTGGCGAGCACAGGTATATCTGTTTATAAACGGATATAAAGATATATAAGGATATATAAACGGATATAGTATTTTATATTAGCTATAATAGATTTTTTTTATACTTCGGGTTACATTAGTGTAATTTTTGTAGAAACTTTAAATTATTTTTTAAAAACAAAGCCAACAATACCTACTACCTACAAAACAAAGTCTATAATATTCGCTAATAATATAGCTTTCTATACATGAGAAATTTTAAAATCGGTTGAGTAGTTTTAAAGTGTATTCATTACAAATAAATATGCAAAAAATAAAATTTTTCTTCTTTACACAGTTAGTACAAATTCAAACTTTATGCTATAAATAAAGTCTTTGTAATTTCTTTGTCAGTACATTTACCTATACTAGGATGCACTTTGTACGTGTTTTTAAATCTATATCTTATATATTTAGTTTAGTAGGGTATGTAATTATTAATTACAATCTTAAGACAATTATTTTATTTATATATAAATACGTGAAATCACTTAAATTTTTCAAATGCTAAATATCCATTTATTTTTTAAATTTGCATTCGCGATAAAGTGGGACACTGCAGTATTTGTAACCGCAAAGGCTCGAGTGTCCACGTAATCTGTAACAGTTTGCTTAACCTACAGTCTACAAAAAACTTCTTAGCGTCATTCATTTCACACATAAGAGTTACATTTCTTTTTGATTTACGTATCTCGAAGGAATGTAAACATAGCTACAGTTATAAACGAGAGTAATGAGAATTCTCAGACTAATACGATTGTTTTAATATTTTGTAACTAACTCTAGGGTTATTACACAGCATAATTTGTCATTGCTCAGTAGAGTTCGTTAAAACTGTATTTTTGAAACTAAATAAGTACCTATATACCCGCCGATAAATAACGAATGATATATTTCGTGACACTTCGTAATTTTTGATCACTTTGTAGTTAGAATACAATTTTTATATTGCACGTAATAATTAATATGTATTAATATATCAACATTTATATCACAACAGATATAATATTACATATTATTAGCATTAGCAAAGATTATATGTGTGCTTTACTATCACAAATAGTTGTGTTATTTGTAGATATATCTACTATATTAAGTACTTTTTAAGTCTGCTTCTTACATATAAAGTAAAACAATTGATTTATAATGTACTATCTTATGGACAGCAGCGTCCCTCTTAAAACATCACCGAAGCCTACTGCGGTTGCCAACCTGCCTATAAAGCAGGGGAACTACTAACCAAACCCCCGAAGGGAAAGGGCTGTGTTCAGCAGTGGGCAGTTAATGGCTGATATGATGATTATGATGATGATGAAGTATCCTGTAACATTAGATGTAATTGTATATTTAACAGTCTTATTCATACATAGTTTCTCAACCTTATTTTTCTCACTACCCATTTTGTCATTTTTATTATTTTCTGAAAACCCCGTCTTAATTTTGCTTAACATCTGTCGCGAAATAAAAACAACTATTGCCATAATTTATTTATTAAATAGTAGTATTTTCTCTAATTTTTCTTGGTCTTCTACTGCTTCTTTGAAAGTCTCAACCACACACAAGAGGGTGTTATCAGCCACGTTGAGAATCTATGGGTTAATTATATTGATTACACATAACTAAGCACCTACAACGTATCGTACTCCAAGAGGTACTCGATAATGATTGATCATATTTATACCTATTTCTAATTGAAATATATACTTCTTATCGCAGTAGGCGAAACTATAGCGACCTCTTTACGTTACTAAAAATAGCCGAGTGCTATTATTCAACATAAAGGTTCCATTGATCTCAGATTCTAATAACGAATGATTAATGATCAAAATGAATACACCCATTCTTATACCGTATTAAGTTTGAATTACTACATATCTTGTTATAATTAGGTGTAAATATTGAGAACGCACTTGTTTATTTGTAATACAAAAATGTTATCTTTTCAGTTGGACTAACAATATTAATGTTTGATAACTGCGATAATTTAGGAGAATGAAGTGTAGATTCAATAAACAAAGTAAATAATACTTAACGTACAATTAAAAGATATTATATTTTAAGATTCAGTTTTACGAAAAAATAAGACGCTGACTTCAACCGTGGCAAAAGTTGAAGTCAGTTGAAGTCAAAATTAAATCTATAAGATCAACCAAAAAGTATATCCTTTTAGATACAAGTATAATTTTACAGATCGGTTTATAAATGAAAATTGAGTATTTGTTCCTTTTTTGAAATCGATTAAAAACAAGTTATAATTATATAATTTTATGTATATTTATGAAGCACTAACTATTAATGTATTTACTTGTAAATATACCAATGAATCTAAGTAGTTTGTTCGTTTTACAAAATAAATTTATAATTTTATTAAAAACTGGAATGAAAGAAAGAAGATCGACAAAACAAACAAATTAAAATAAAATTCTGCACAATAACGAAATTAAAGAATAAAAGCCCAGATCAGTAAAACTTACACAAAATTTTAAGTACCTATTATTTTTATTATACTTCTATAATTATAATACTAATATATATATATGTAGTAACTATATATATAATAGATGTATTTTTCTAAATATAATCATCAAAGAACTGAATATTGGATCCACAAATTCGAAAATGTAGGTCAGATGACAGCGACATGTTGCACGGCTTGAGGGAACCCTTTATATGAACAACCACCAATTGAATGCCTTTGTGTTCGAGCCTAAAGCGCAGTATGTATTCAATCTGCTTTGATCTCTAAAGCCAACAGGTTATATATACATCGAATTAATAATCTATCAGGGAGAAATTGGTTGAAACAAATAAAAGTCCTTTTTCATCAATCAATCAGTCAATTTAAATGTTCATAAGTAACTTTAATGCATTTTAAAATTTTCTGGATAAACCTATACAAAAGTGCTTCATAGAGCGTAAAAGATTTCTAAGTGCAAACAAAGAAGGGTCGATAAAATCTACTCATGTTTAAGTCACCCGTGTGATAAGGCGCTTTTTATGGAGTTTGTTTTTTTGAAGGCTAAGTAAAAAATCTTATAGAATCAGAACTCTAACTTGTTTCTTTGGAAAATAATAAAACTGCTTACTAATTAAGTTTCAGTTTTTGCACCAGAACCTAAATGAGGTAGCGTTTACTGGCAACGCTAAATAAACTTCTTAAGCTGGAAATAAAGTGTTTCATGTTAATCGTTGAACTTTGGTTATATCACGCAAAGGTCGTTTCGCAAGGCTGTGTAAAATCATAATTATATTTAACAGATTAGGAAGTTATGATTTGGGTAGCCTGATATTAGAGAAATGATGTGGGTAGCCCTTTATGCCTGCTTTATCCTCAAAGTTAGTATTAAATTGTAATTTTATTATTAAGGAGTTCCATTTTGTCTTGAATCTTGAATCTTTCGCTATTTATTTACATTACAGCATTTCTATTCTCATCAAAGGAATTAGTCATATAAGTAGATAGATATCGTAGATAAATACAAAGGAGTAATGTAGTAAAGGAGCGAGGAATGTATAAAATTTTACGTTACTAGTTATATACTGGCAAAACTCTTCCTTATGGGGGAGTTCTATGTTCAGCAATGGAACAGATAACAGCTGATAAAATAGTAACAATGTAAAGCTAGGCGTCAATCAATTTCATCTCCTATCCTAACAATTTCATACTATTCGTAAAAAACTGAAAATCAATTCTGAATAGTAAAGGGTTTTTCAATTGTTCACTTTGTGTTATTTTTATACTGTGTTTACATTTTATATTACATTTTCTAATTAAATAATGTTTTTACAGACGTGCTGGAGGTCGCAATAGAAGTATGGAGGGCGGCAGTGGCGTCGTGTACAGAGTAGTTGGCCGCACAAGAAGTAAGGCTGACTGTGCCCAGCAAACTGAACGGCAACCACCAGGACCTCGTCAGGACACCACCTGGAAGAAATACACCGACTCTCCAGGGGTGGGGACTCCGCCATTGGTATTCATTCGCAGTATTACAGAGCATAACGTTAAAGTATTCTACGTTTGTGATGGTTTTAATAGCTCTTTAGTATCTACATTCCGTTTGCTCTCCATTTGCATTCTATTATATTTAAGTATTTTAATCAAGTAAACTTCATGTTCTCCTTATTAATTTTTGACTTATGATCTAAGTTTAAAATACGTCTTTACACTGATACAGATAACTCCGGACCGTATTTTGTGCTGAAATATGTCTGAGAGTATGTTCCAGACTGGTCAATAGACAGATTGTACTGAAAGAAAACCTAAATAGAATAACATAAATTAACAATTATTGCAGAGTCAGCCAGCTCAAGCGCCGCCGAGTCCATCGCATGGACGCAAGGGGGAGAGGCGGACTGGACACCATTCTCCACAACATCACAAGAGAGAGAAACTTACAGCGGCCCAACAGTTGGGTATCGCACCACATCCACAGGTAGACTTTTGCTACGAAATTCTAAATTAATGTTTATTAAATGTTAAATTTCTAATTTACTTGTAACATTGAAAAAAAGGAATAAAATAAAATAAAATTCCGAATTTTCGGTCTCAATTTCGTGTTTTTGTTCATACTGAAATCAGTCCAATAAATGAAGCTTACCACTTTATTTGTCATAAATCCTACAATAAAAGTTCAAAGCAACGATATTTTAACATTTTGAAACAGTGTATATTATGTAATTTTAACATCAATTTCGTTTGATTCCGAAATTTCGGAAAACATTTCATGGTAGACCCTCTGTTTATATACCTATACGAGAAGTAACAGTCCTAATCAAATATCCGTCTATAAATTATATAATTATTTTTCAGTACCCAACAGTGGCTAATTCACCTAGTCAACATTCCTCAAGAAGTGGTGCTGCACAGGTTAGTTTCTTATAAAAAAGAAATAATATTTTTTTTTGTATAATTTATTTTTATGAAATTCGTTTATTTCTAATCAGGAATGACTAGACTCACCGATAATCATTCACTACAGTTCGACACATTTGATATTCTTATAAACTATTACGGTAAAAGTAATAGTTATAATAACTACTGAATTCGAAACTAGTTGAGCATCCCCGAATTTATAACTTGAGTAAATTCGACATAAACAATATAGTGTAAAACTTATATATGAAATTTATTCTATTACTATAAAGCGGAAATATTTATTTGTTAATTTTTGAAAAATAGTTTTACTATCAAATATAGCTCACTTTTTAAGAAAAGTTATAGGCTATTCAACATCACGATGCAACCACAGATAAAGTCGCGGCATACAAATCTGTATGGACAATTTTTAATTTAATTTAGTTTTTATGGTAAATATTTTCTAAATAATCATGAAATTCTTTTTTCAGCTGCAGTCACCCAGTGGTGCTTCATCTCGTCCTTCCAGCGTCTCAAGTGGAGGTAACGGTAGCAGTTGTTCAGCAAGTAAAGCCAAAGTACCCCAAAACTTCGGATACGTGAAGAGACAAAATGGTGTGCAACAGCCTGCTCCTCAAGCCAATGGTCCGCCACAACATGGACATGGTATGTAAAATATTTAAAAACAAAATTGTACCTAAGTAACACAAACGGACACTATTAATTATACACGGGCACTATCCTTAATCCATATACTTGGCATTTATGATCTTCGGGGAGAAGTCAAAATATTGGTAATATTCATAGATTAAAGATAGTTTCTACTTTACTTACTTCTTTTAAAGCGACACCTCGTACAACAAATATCTATTTCTTGATATTTCAAATCAGGAACAGTGAAGTGCAAAAAAAAAAACTAGAAAATTAAGAACCCATCAATATTAAAAATTAACACATACTTTTACCGACCTATGACGTGATTTTCAAAAAATATAAAAATATAGAAATAAATTCAATAGAATAGATGTTTCTCTTGTTCATTACATGAACGATTTTATAAACTAAAAATTAAGATGCCAAAGCCGCAGTTATATTTATAGAAGAAAATACTATAACAGCGAAATGGCGCCATACATCATTTTATTTGTCGTGTGGTCCCGGCATAGAGTAAGTCACCCCTTCCCTTCCTGTGAGTATCATAAGAGACAACTAAATGGTCGAGGGATAGGTAGTAACGTCCCTTTTTAAACATCACCACAGGGGGAAACCTATATTTAGCAGTGGATAGTTAACGGCTAATTATAATAGTTTATAAAAATTATGAGCGAATTTGTGCTTAATTAAATTGTTTCTTTTATATTTTTAGGTGGACGAACGGCCCAAGTATCTGCGGTTCCTAGAACGAAAGTTAAAGTATCAGGCGGTACACAAACATGTACGCAAGACCTCCAAATACATAGTAAGTCACATTTTGTAATAAATAAATAATTATTCGCCTAATTCTTAATTCATTCAATAAGTTAAAAGATTCATTGTTTTTGTATCAATACCATGTTTCATATTTATCTTAATTTATATCACAGTTAATTAAATGCTTCTATATAGCTTGTAAGTATTTTGTAAGTAGAACTTAACTGCATTTCGTTCTGTCTCTATTATCAATATCGGAATTGTAATTTAGCTGTATTATACATGCGACTTTTTAAAAGAAACAGATTTATTATAACTAATTTACTTATTCTCGTCAGAAAATGGAATCGGTCCCAAATCATACTCGCTGGGAGGTACGGCTGCGGCACAGTTGTCTGCTTCTGTAAGGGAGCGACTGCTTGGCTCACAATCACTACCTAAACCTGGGACCCACGAGTTTGCGGCACTGTTTCACCATCACAGGTAATCACTTTAGTAATCAATTTATTTTGATTATTTGATTGGAATTATTTTGTTTAATTCTGCTACCATTAGCGTGTGTGCGACTATCAACACTTCAAGATTGAACACTATTAATATTACCAGAAGTTCCATAATCTTTCATGTTGGTCATAAAACTCGGACTGCCATTTCATCCACGCATGTTTTATGACACGTGTTTCACATCTAAACGAGGCAAATAAATAGGAGCTTAGTGTTAACTGTTCGGCACCCAAAGTACCGAAATAAACCAAATAATTTTAATCAAATAATCAGTTATGAAATATCGCAAAATAAAGCCTGGTTCAGTAGAATAATTGTTTTTGTATTATAGATGTACTTACTGTTATAATAATAGTGTTTGCTAGATTATAATATTTAGTAAAATTCTTATAAGTTTGCATAAAATTTACGTACATTTACTAACTCATATTCATAAAACCTAAAATTTTGCAAATTCCTCAATTTTTCGAATTTGACAATTGTTAGGATTTACAACAATTTACAGTAATATTTATTTACGAGTACATTACTAAAGTAAATGTTAAAATTGTAAAAAACATGTAAAAAACAAACAAACTTTGTTTGTTTCTTACCTCTTAGCCAATTGTAATAATTGGCATACCTACATGGTTTTTTTAATGAAAAAAAGCATAGGATATTTTTTATCGCTGTCTATCAATATATTCCAGTTCAGTGGAGAAAGTCGTGGATAAATACTAATATGCAAAATAATTTGGAAGATACACTGCAAAAATTGAATAGCTTTTGTATCCTATCTACAGCTAATATTATTGTATAACTGGTCTGCAAACCAATGATTCTTCCGTACCAATTGTCCAGTTGACATTACCAATTAAAACAGTTTATATCATTTGCTGAGAGATTGATTAACTCAAAGTCGGAGTGAGAGACATAGAACATACGTTCTCATTTTTTCTCAACGAATTTTATATTATCGTCATGATGATGTTGAAATAGTGAGACAGAGTTGTATTTTATTTGTTTTTAGTACTTTTATCTATTTTGAATAAACATTTATTTTAAGGTTTTATATTTAATGATTTTTCAATATTTTAATTAGTATTTTTTTATGATATAATTTTGATTTAAATATTTTATATAATAAAAAAACTGAACTGACACAGACTTCAAATTATAAACAAAATATCTTTTTAATAAAATTAAAAAAGAAAATAACAAGGTGCGTCGTGCACAATGTGTATAATATTAATAATATAAATTGTAATAATAATGATAATGAATACACTTGACTTTAGACCGAAGCAGTATTACTAAAATTATATTATTTAGTTTATCAAAACAGATATGGCCCCGTACACAAGGAAACATACTTATTATTTAATAAGCTGAAAATGCGATTGTATGTTTATCATGAGGATTATTGCCTTCAAATAATTAAGAATGAAGTATTAGAAATACAAATGCATCTCTGTGTAATATTGATCAATGAACATAAAGTCCACTGCATCAAAGTATTTCGTTGTGTGTGGACGTGGACTTTGTCATTGTGTGATAGAGTGTTTTTATACAGATACCTATTATGTAGTGATCAGTGCATTAGTAGAATATGTTTAAGATGCCTTACACATACAGGTTCTCACCTGTTTCATTATAGTTTTTTGGTATTAATAGCTAATTTATAAGCATTCATATCGAAATGTGGTAATCTCTTTATTATCAGTCAATTTTCTGAAAAAAAAAATTAATATTATAGATAAAGTGATTTTGTATTGTCCAAAAAACATTAATAACTGAATAAGTTTCGTATAAAACTTACCATAAAAAATTAAATTGAATTTAAATTTATAATGAATTTTTCTCTGTGACATAGGATATATATAGTACATTTATGTATAGCATTATATATAGCAAATTTCATTTTAAATTCGTAAAGCCAGTTGAGCATGAGTGAATAACAATATGAAAAAATCATTATAAACTTTATCATTTACATTAATATTAGTGTGTACAATAAAGTATAAATAAATAACTTTATAATATTATTAAGGTGACAATTTTTTATACACAGTACAAAAATACATACTATAATAATACATATTGTATGTAATATGTCTTATTTACATTTATATGGTTGTTAAAGCAACGCGTAAATAAATATTTGATGGTTTTGATGTAAAATCAAACGATAAGATTTGAGACATGTTTATCTTTGTTTATATTTGATTTGGATATAAAACTTATAAACCGTGAGAATTTTAGAATCAGTACTTAGTTTGATTTAATAGAGATCGAGTGTCTTTTAAAAATAAAACACCTTGTGTATTTGTTTTAGTTGTTTTATCCACGGAAAGAAACGGTAGATAATATTTGTTAAATTTGATATTTTATTTTCAGAATAACACCAAGAGGAGGAATGAAGATCAGTGACGGTAGTCTCTCAGATACTCAGACGTATTCTGAAGTGAAATCTGATTACGGCATACCTTACGCACCATGGCTGCGGCATAGGTTGGTATTTAATATTGTACCTATTTCGGATTGATTGAAGTGTGGTTTTGCAATAACAGTCCCTCACTTGTGTGCTAGTGTAAATAGTGTGTTATAATATTATTTTCTTTTGAATTACAGTTAGGTGCAACCGATATTCTTTGAAGAAAATTCAATATAAATAATTTAATTGATAAAGTATTACATTTAATATAACTTTCACCAATGAATACCTATTAGAGTGAAAAATAATAACGTTCTAGATTTTTAATTTTGATACATTAACTAATTGTATTATTACTAGATATTATTCATAATTCAGTTTAAACTCATACAATGTGTATATACCTGCCTAAAATTGTATGTTGTTCCGTTTATATCATTGTCATAATCATCGCCATGATTCTTATTATAATTATCATTATTATATTCATCACTCGATTTGTATGCATTTTGTGTGTCATATCGATTTATCTTTGATCTGTCGCAAAGTATATTTCATGTACTTTTATATATTCTTTAATCATATCCATATGCTTTATACTCGTACTGTCCTGTATCCATCATGGCCAGTTGTAAATAGCAAGCATTTTATTTACTTGAAGTATGAAAAATAAAAAAGTTATAAAAATATTATTTGTATTAAAAATAGAATCGATATGTTTTTGGATAAGCAGATATGCAAAAAGTACTCTATTTTGTATCCTATAATGTTTTTTAAGCAAATATCACGAACACGCCATTAAAAAGGTTAGATTATAAATTATTTATAAATTGTTCAAATAGAATAAAAGATATATATATTGGTCATATAAATAATTTGGCATTAAAATTACAGCAATCATAGTTAACAGTAATAAAATAAATTGACTAAAGTTTACCTGCATTAACATTATGCTTACCACAATTGGTATATTTACTTTTAACAGCTCTAACATTCTGCCAATTCCCATGAATTTATTTAATATATTAAAATATTTATAAAAAAAAATATCAAGTGAGCATATTTGCACGTGCAAGCACATTACAGCTGGCCAGCACGATCCATCATCATTTTCCCCCATTTCAGCAATACATACTCGGCGAGCGGACGCCTCTCCGAGGGCGAGTCGATGGAGTCTCTCACGTCGCTGCACTCTGCGCAGGCGCACAACCACACCTCTTCCCCTAACTCACACCACCGCAGCTCACTCACACACAATAAGCTCATCATGCACCGAGACGCTCAGGGCTCCAGACTAAACAGGAGCAACAGCATTAGGTGGGTCGTGGTTGTACAGCAGATTAATGCATACATTTTGAACAGATTTTTATCGTCCACAATTAATAGTGAGTGAACTGATTTTGATAGTCGTACCACAGATAAAATTTAGTTTTAATAATAGTTTTCTCATGGTCCTACTGGAAATAAATAGTTATTCTTACATAAATTAATCACACCATAGCATAGACCAAAGCGGTTTCGTCACGTTAAAAAATAAAACATATTTTAGCAATTTCTGTTATAGGTCCGGAAATGAAAAAAGAAAATCTTAAACTTGCAGTCTTAAAATTTTATGCTATTTTAAAATACAATATACCTACATAATTATTAAGCACTAGTAAATTGTGTTTTAATTCAGGTAGTAGAAGAGAGTCAACACTAAAGATAACAATAAAACATTGAGAAAGGATCATGTTATTAGGTTTGAGAGTTGCTTTATTTTAGGATACATGGCAACAATTTCTGTAAATGTCATCATTATATTATAGTAACATAAGTACTACGTAAATAAGGTAGATATAAGTAACTAGTTACTCTAATAACAGATGTAAAAAAATATTAATCTGTATCGTCGTGGTGAATGGTGTCAATAATTATCATTGTAGTCCCTTATCATATCTTCTCATAATTTCCTATCTATTTTTTTTATTTCATGCTTATCTAATGTATATATTGTCGTTCAGGCTTCACATTATTATTTTATGTATCTCTAATATATAAATTAACAATATTTGAAGTCCTGTTGGTTGAATTTTTAGCTACCTCAGAGATAGGACTTTCCCAAGGTATGCAACCTGTAACAAGGTTGGAATTTTGCTCATGTTTTCGCTTCGAGGTGGCACGCTTCACTATAACGTACAAAACAAATGCATGATATACAAAACATGGCACGGCTTACTGTCACTTGTCATTAATATACATTACTCGTTAAAGAACTGTGTACTTAATCATTACTATTTGTTTTTTCGCAATTGTGCAATTAATTGGATATATTTTTGCAAAACAACGCACAATCGTGTTTACACAGTCACGTTTGTTAATTATTTTTTTCATTATTTTTATTTATAACATCAACTATTCGTTGTAACAGTTAATTGAATCACTTACAAATACAATAATTATTTTCAGTAATACATAGGCTTTTGTCGTTATTACGCTGAATATGTTTGTATACTGTGTCGTATCGTTGACGTTTTTGAAAAAAAATTGATAGTAATCGTATTTACAGATCAACAAAATCCGAGAAATTGTACCCTTCAATGCTGCAGCGATCGTCGGAGAGCGATTATGAACCATACTATTGTTTACCTGTACAGTATGGACCAGGGCAAGGTAAGACATTTCATTTCAATATGACTATTTTATTTTTAAATAATTTTATGTTTAATTACCGCTTGCTTCCTATTAACCTTAATAAAAAAAAAACTTTATTTGTTCTTGTATAAACCTGTTCAGACTTACAACATCAACACGACAGGCACGATTCATAAACTCTCCCCTTTGTCGAGGCAAGAGATAAATTTTATTATTTTCTCTTCCGCAAAATGTGTCAGTAAATTTTATTTAGTAATAACTTTGTCGTTCACAGTGTTGTATGCTTTATTTCTGAAGCTCAATGTCCAAGTTTTGTATCCTCGAATAAATTTACGCAAACCAGTTAATCATTGCTATCTGGTTAGCGAAGGCGCTTCTAATACAAAAATAAAATTGCTATAAGTTTTATAAAAGGCGGCCGATGCTGTTAATAGAGTCGCAAAATACAAATGATTATAAATTATCAGATTATTTAAAAAAAAAATTGGTGAAATAACAACAAAAAATTAAGAACCGTCTATACTAACATTACGCATCCAGCTATTAAGTTAATATTAGAAATTTTTGTTTTAAGCATGAATATATTCTTAATTTTACGTACGGCTAACTTAGCTAATAACTTTTCTACAAATAAAAATACATCTACAATATATACATAGCCGTATATAGTAGCAGAGTCCAAATGTAATTAATATATGGTTGATATATAATATTATTAAATACTATCAAATAATACTAGAATTACTAGATTATTTGAATAATTCTAGCGATTTCGATAATAAAAGTGTATTCAAGAGTGCATGTTTGAATCATACATAGATAAAATTATAGGTCTAAACTATGGTGTATCGGAACCACCGTCACCTTCCCCGCGATCAGCCCTAAGCCCCACCCACCAGCCCGGCAATGTGATGCACACACCAAGACATTCCCATCACTACCCTAAGAAAAATGACGACGGTGAGTATATTTTAAGAAATTTAAAAAAGAAAGATATTGTGTTTTGCTTCAATAGAACTTACTAACAATACAATACATAAATAATTGATCCTAAGACAGTCAGTTGATGTCCAAAAGCAGTTGAAATATGAATTCGATTAATCGATTAAATGTTTCATTTTGTTACAAATTTTGTTTAGAGAGTGTTTCTGTGATGATTTCAACAACGTTAATTTTATTATAAATTCTATTGAAATTGATGATATAAATCATAATATCATATAAGGGATTCAATAGTAATGTACCGATTTTGATAAACTTTTTTGAAAACAATACGACTTACTCCCATAGTCGTATTATATCCCATATATGTGTTTTTATAGAACGAAGGCGTTTAAAAATTTTAGTACATTAACCTCAGATGATTGTTGAGTAATAGTTATAGTCATGTCTAAATTTATATACTGTTAATTTTTTTAAATTCTAATAACATGAAATTAATAATATGATTATGATGCAGTGCATGGCTCTACTGCATCGCTGGTATCGACGGCGTCGTCGCTGGCAGCGGGGGCAGGCTCTGAGGAAAGACAAGCTCATGAGGTAAGTCTAGTCCGTTGACCGAGATATATAGATCAACAGAGATAAAATATACTCGATGTCCTTCCCCATCCCAAATAGTATGTGCATGACAAATTTCGTGATGATTGGTTTAGCCATTAAAGTCGAGAGATAAGAAAGACGTAAGAAAGTAAGTATTTAAGTAATCTCAAACAGGAGGATACTGTCAATTCGTCTGTATTTTAGTGCATATATTATACAATAATATCCGCTGACTTTAAACCGATTTTGATATTCTTAATATCGATCTATTTAGTTTACTTCTGTATATGTGGGTTCTATGCTATGTTTATTAAAAATAAATCTTTGTTTTTTTTTGCAAAGTTTTATATTCAGTTTATTTTGTACATATTTTATTTACTACTGATCAAAATAATTTTAGATCATATTTCACAAAAAAGCTAAATTCTGTCGACTGCATGGAAAAATATACAAATTAATATAACTATTGCCAAAGATATAATTTAATTGCGTAAGATAAATAAATAACTGAATTAAGAAACGCTGTTTTTTCAGTCACTTAAATAGATACCTTCTTATTTACCTTAAAATCTTATGTATTCTTATTTGAATCGTATATAGTTTATCCGCATGTAGTTATAGTAATTGTATATAAAATATCTTAAAGTTAGGATATAACCTACTCAAATTTCAAGCTTCATTCAAATCCATTCAGCCGTATAAACGTGATTGAGTAACAAATATATGTACAAATATCTGAACTCCTTTACAAACTTTCACATTGAAAATATTCGTAGAAATTTATACTTACAAATTATTTGATTAATAACTTTCACATTTCTAATATTATCAGAAGAGAATCCATTTACATTTATTATAACGCTTTATATTGTGTTCAAATATAGATACATATTTTATAATAGGTCCGGAAATTGAGAAGGGAGCTCGCAGACGCCAAAGAAAAAGTGCATACGCTGACCACCCAACTGACTACTAATGTGAGTAATAATCATACTTTGTTATCTATACATTCTCATTACACAGGTTAATTTCCTTTTCTCGGAAAACAAAGGTGATTAGTGCGACCATTTTCAACCGTTTCCAAAGCTACTTATTCTAGTCGTCTATTGAATTACAAGGTAGGCATGTCAACCAATGAAATGTGAGAATTATAATTTGTCAACATGTCATCGCGTGACTGCTTTGACGCTCGCATAACTAGCAGCAACAACGACCAACAAAACAACCCACAACAGTGTAACGCGACACCACAATCGTAGACAAAATAGTGTCCACTGATGCTGATTCTACTATTCGAAACAATGTAACATTATATCTTATTACGCTGTCGTTTCGTAATTGTGGTTGACAGGACTAGGTTCATTAACAAGTTTTACTAAACTTTCACTTTCTATTTTCAAATGACATTTGTTATTACCGTTAACTCGGTGGGCGCATATTATTTATCATATGAGAGCTTTATCATACAGTTTTTAAAGATCATTTTAAACATGTGAAAGTAGATACGAAATGATGGAAAAATTAAATACATTATTAAAATACGATTCAAGCCCTAACTGATAAAATGGACGAAAAGATGTAGTATGGAAATTTCTTGAATAATAGGTTAGGTATATGTCGACGATGGTGTTTTCCGTATAACTTGTTTGTTGTTTTTATTTTTTGTGTATTTCTCAAATGTTTGATAGGCATAATTTACGCTCTGCTACAAGTAATTGAATCTCAAAGATGAAACTAGATATAAGAACTATCGTGGCTTTATTCAAGTATTAAATTCGGGATGCCCGATAGTCTTAGATTTAAAAGGAGCCCTTATTCTTATTATTTATCTATACAATATAGATAAACAATTTAAGAATAAATGAAGTTTTGATTTCATTATTAGGTATCTTTTAAAATTTGACCTCTAAGCCCAAAAAGAAAAAAAAAGTGTTATATAAACATTAATGTAAATGTATAAACATGAAACTTATATAATTTTGTGCTCTGAAATAAATGTGAAAATGTGATATGAAATTTTATAAATAAAGGATTATAAAATTAAGATAAAAAATGAATAGGAGACATAAAATAGTAAAATATTATTGTTACTAGGTTCATTTATTAGATTGTAAAGTATAACGTGAACGATATTAAAAGGACTCGTTATTAGTTTCTGAAATATAAATACCTATTTGCCTAGATCGATAGGTGTTCTATTACCCTAAACCTACATATTTCAACATTTCAAGAACTGTCCATTATAAATTATCCCTTAAACAATGTAGCCATATTTTGCAGAGCCAACCTTGTTGAGAGCAAGAAAGTTGATATGAAATGATACTAAGGGTCAGCAAATAATAGTAACGTACAGCATGACCGTGAGACACTAAGTCGCCCGTTTCGCTCCCATATCTGGCATAGGAATGTATGCCAAACGCCAACTGCCTCTGTGCTATCTGCGAATACGATGTTAAGTAAAGGTAGGGTCCTACTGTAGCTCTGCTTATCGCGATCATGACGCACCTTTGCTATTGTCAGAATACAGAGCAGATACTACTTATGTAGTTTGTTGGTACTTGTCATTACATATTTTACATATGATATGATGAATAATAATGACGGCTGTATTAATTTTGAAATATACATTTAATTTTGTTAACAAACAGGCTAGTTGGGTAAGCTGAGTATTAAAATTATGGAAATATTTTTTTAAAAATTACAATATTTTCTATAACTTACTCATTAACTTAATTAAAATCTTATTATTAATATTGTCGGTATTGGATATATTTTTTTATAGATGTTAATGTTTATTATTTTGTACTTTATGATCTACAGTAACTAAGAATGCACTTTATAAAAAAAAACATACATCATAGATGTTACATCTGTCTTGTTTGATATACATTTATTAATATAGGACTGACAATACACTATCTAGATATTGCACGAGTCAGATATTATACTTGGGAGTTAAACCGATTTTAATTATTTAGTATTTTAGACATTTAACAGAAGAATAAAAAAAAATTAAGGCGAAATAAATAATGATCGCTACATTTTATGAATTGTACACTGTATATATAAGCGGCGTGACAAAGCGTCAGTAACCGCGGTCCGATATGGCGGATGGCGACAAACTTGGTCCTTCTGTTGACCTGATAGCTGTACTGCTGAAATGACGTGTTCCCTTTATATCCAAATGTGGAAACAGATCTAGATACTGTAGGTGGCCATATGTTTCTAGATATTTAAGTTGTACGTAGGAATATACAGGTCGTATTTCATTTTAATTTTAAATTACTAAGTTCGCATTATCTTATCTCACCGTGACTTTAAATTCATTGATATTTCTAGTTCAACTTAACAAAAAATATTATTATAAAAAAATACTACACACATACTGTAATCTCAGATAGTTATTAAAGTAGGTATCTACAGACATTTTTTTTTTTATGGGAGAAAATGGAATGGTAACCCCGCCTGCGTTAACGGAATATGCTGGCGGAGCGGTGATAGATGAGAATGAAAACAGGCCAGTTAGCCCATCATGATGAATTCATCAGGAAATAACCATAATAGTTTCCAGGAAGAACCGCGAGGAGGTCGACTTGGTTGGATATATTGCTAGCAATAGGATTCTCAGTCTCCATTCACTAACAATCCCTTTCCCCAGGTACAGACATTTTATCAAGTGTTGCAGTAAGTTAAATTTTGTACGATTCCTAAATACACACGTATAGGTACGACTATAAGTTTAACGTGATGTTTTAAGCATAAAAATGCTTTATTTTTCTAACATGGTATTAATATGATAATTAAATTAAATCGTATTAAAAAATTTTATATTTCATTTTCATTTTCTACATTATTTCATTCGCATGTTAGAATTGTGATCACTGATCAGGCAATTTAATCCTCATTTTCATTAATATATAATAATTACGAGGCAAACAGCGTACACACTAAAAAAGTTTGAACTGAATAACTGTTTTCTAATGTCCACCTGCACATTCAATCCTTTCATCGTAACAAAGGAAAAGAAAAGTTTTCAATGAGTATCGGGTTTTGTTCATTTAATTTACTGCCCGGTAAACTTCGCCGCCATAAATAATTCAACAGCGTATATGCGTCCATCGTAGCACTTGTATTGTTTAGTTTTGGAACGCTGCGTTCGACTAAAGGGCCTTTCTTTTTCTACACTGCCAATACGTAGTTTAATTCTTTGAAATAAGGTTTATTTCCGTGACTAATCGAGTACTTTTTATCTCGCACGAGCTGCTTCATTCCAGATCATCTAGATCGCTATTTCCTTTTACCTTATGATACAGCGGTAATAATTTCTGTTAATTACAATCATTAGAAATCGATTTCATACAAGTTTTTGCCCTTCTCGTTTTTTAATATCAGATGTTTAACCATATCTTCCAGACCGCTTGCTTAACTGTTACAAACGAATAACCAATTATTTTAAATAGCGACCTGAATTGATGCCTCCATTATTGGTGCTTCCTTTTGAATGATATTGGCTGTCAATTTATTTTTTAACATTATCAAAATGTCCTCCACCTACTTGTGATAATATAATAATTATTTTAAAGGCGCTTTTACGATATTTTGTCGTGTTAGTAAAAAATAAAAATATTCTCTTCATTTTGTGTAAATTAGTAATAGCGAAAAATTGTTTTAGTCAACTTCGATAATATGTTAAAAAATGGCACAGAAATAACAGAATAAGAAACAAAGAATTCAACTCCCAATTTCACTGCTCCTAAGTGAGGTCGATTTTTTTAAACTTCCTACCAAATTAATCATAACATAAATTATTTCAGAAAGCACTTAAAATAGCTTTAGTAAATTTACAAGATATCCAGGCATATATTAGAATATATATTACAATGTTTTTTTTTTTATACAACATTAGAATGGCAAACAAGCTGACGGCCCACCTGATGGAAAGTGGTAACCGTCGCCTATAGACATGAGCAGTACCATGGACATAACAGAGTATACTGTTTCGCCCGTGATACCCCCCATGCGTTGCCATTCCTGAGGACTTAAGTGTTTTTCCTCTGTATCCAGTAAATTCACGCCATATCCCACCCTTCAAACCGAAACACAGCCATGCAAACACAACTGCTTCACGGTTGAAACACGAACGGGACAGAGGTACCCAAGCAATCGACTTTTGTACAAAGTCTCCCTCTGGTATGTCAAATAATATAATTCAGTCGATATAATGACTGAATGATGAATGGAGTATCCATTATAAAGTCACTATACAAACAGTGAATTAAATAATAGTGTTAATTTATGTTTTAGTTTAAAATTTAATATTCTCAGTATAACCTTCACATTTATAACATCCTTATTTTTCATTTCAAGCTACACACCTTATTGCTTATATCTATTTAAATTTATTATGTTCATATTTAATTTGGTCGGAGTCGTGTGGATTGTTTACATCTTGACTAACAAGCTTTGCAGTAGAGTTCATGTTTGGCAACGCCACCTATGCTCTGCAGCTGGGGCGTGTTTTGGAACCACGCCAACAATAACAAAACAAAGAAGTGCATTTGCAAATAAATGTCTCATTGTTTTAACTTAACTTCTCTGCTAATATGAAAGTAATTTTGTATTAAATGTATAACGTGTAACTTGTCGTGATACATAAAGTCTGTATTGATACTATTAAATGTTTTGTTGTAAAGTTGCCTTGTGCTTCTAATAAATAAATAAACTTAACAGCAACCTACTGTTAAATAAATTTATTCTGGTTCTAAATATAAGTGTAATACAGATGCAGTCATTGGTAATAGATTAAGTTAACGTTCAAGTATTTATGTCTTTGAAGTTTACAAAGATACTCGTAGTCATACTCGGCTCAAACTAATGATACGGTGAATAGTATAATCTGATATCAGCTTAATGAAAAGAGACTGGAAAATTTACAAATATTGGTACACCTTTCGCGAGCATTCGCTCTGTATAGATA